ATCCACTCTCCACCCAGCCTGTACTTGTGCTTGGGAATACCCCGACCCAGGGGCAGGACCTTGCACTTGGCCTTGTTGGACTCCATGAGGTTGGCAGAGGCCTCTGCATTATTGCCCCTTCCCCCCTCCCTGGCCCTTTCTGTGTTACATAAGATGTAGAAGGCGTGCAAAACCCATGACCGCCATTTCTCCTGGCCTTGCCCGGCTCGGAAACCCCCCTATATGCTGCTGTGAGATTTCAGTTCTGAGTCAGTATGTAGAGAGTTTACATGGGAACAAGTACACAGCACTAGCTAAATAGTATCAGCCATTGGGAAGTATTAAAGCCAAGGGGCCAGAAGATATTTATGCAAGAAAAATGAAAAGAGGAGAAACTGTAGCTTAAAAATGAGCATGAAGAAGGCAATTTTGAAACAGTCTAAGGAATTTTCCAGACAATTCAGTGGATCACATAGTAATAAAACAAGTGCTAACAAGTGGACTTCAACCACCCTGATATCTGTTGGAGGGACAGCACAGCAAAGCATAAGCAATCCAAGAGGTTTTGGAAGGCATTGATCGCTTCCTTCTCCAAGTGACAGAAGAGCCAACAAGGAGAGGTGCTATGTTAGAACTTGTTTTCACCAACAAGGAGGGGCTGGTGGGGAATGTGAAGCTCAAGGAGCGAGTTCAAAATCCTTAGAGCCCGGAGGAGTGCACACAGCAAGCTCACAGGTTGCCCAGAGAAGCTGTGGATGCCCCATCCCTGGAAGTGTTCAAGGCCAGACTGGATGAGGCTTTGAGCAACCTGGTCTAGTGGAAGGTGTCCCTGCCCATAGCAGGGGAGTTGGAACTAGATGATCTTTAAAGTCCCTTTGATCCTAAATAATTCTGTGAAAAGAAATTATATTAGTAGGTTTTTTTCCAGAGATACTAAGAACAGCTACAGCTCTGTGTGCTATTTTGTTCACTGAAGTGTGATGTGAAATATGCTTTGTAGAGAATTTTAATGATATACCCGTGTATATCAGTATAGATATCAATAGATATTGCTGATAGATATATGTATCTTAATGACCTGTTAACTTGCCTTGCAGAGGCAAATTGTATCTGTCATTGTGTTTACCTACATCATATTTAATATAGTGAAATTTTGAACAGTAACCTCTGTTATTAGTTGCTTTGCATGTAAAATGCAAAACAGATAGATTTTTGCTTTACATTTGATAAAGTAATTTCATCCTGCAAGCAAATTCTCGTAAATTGTAGGGCTCTGTTCACCATGAAGAAATAAACATCTTCAGTGAACAGTGTAATTGCATCCTTGGCTAAAGACCGCTGCACAGAGATGTTGCATAATGTAAAATGAAATTAAATAAAACCTAGTAACTTTAAAAAGGCCAGATGAAAACTAGCCACATACTGTTTTATTGTATTATCTTAGATTCATGCGCAGCGGAAAGTTGCAGTGAAAGAATGTAAGAAATTCATTCATTATTTTGCACGGGTGTTTGTGGGAGCAGCGGTCTGGTTGGTTGTGCACACAGATTGTGTTGGAGACGTGCTCCATTTCTCACGCTGTCTTTTACTCAGATTACAGATTTGTCACTCCCCAACTACCTGATGGCTTCTTCAGTTGGGCTGCTTCCTACTCAGCTCCTGAACTCATACTTGGGCACTACCTTGCGCACCATGGAGGATGTGATTGCAGAACAAAGTGTTAGTGGCTATTTTATATTCAGTTTACAGGTAAGTTACAATGATTGCTTTTATAGACCTTGGTAACAGTAATGTCAGTCTCTTTATGGCTCCTTGGGGAAGCAAGTGCTCTTGGAAACAGCCATCATCAGGTGTTTATTTCTGTGTCCCCCGAATTTCTTGCTCTATACCAGTGGGATTTGAGACAGAATTTTTCTTCTTGACACAGTAGACAAGTTTCCTTCCTGTAGCTTTGTCTCTTTGAGTCACTGAACCTTTGATTTGGAAACTGCATGCCTGTAGGAATGGGTGTGAGACAGACAGAGATTCGGCAATGCCGATCTGTTTTTCAGGTTACACAGCCTGAAGTGTAAAAGGGGTGGGCTGCAGGAGGTTTGGGGGATGCATGTCTTGGGTTAAGAGCTGCTCTCTGGCGTAACAGCTCCCTAGTTTGAGGCAGCTGATCTCACAGACTGAGAGCCAAGCAAGTATGACATGTGATACTGAGAAGTAGCAAGTGTTAAAAGGTGTTTAATTTATAGCTGTGTTATTGGTATTTTCAGTAGATGTGTAAAGCTGAGCTGATGTTTCACTGACTGCTAGATACCCAGAGAAATGGGTTTCCAGTATATTGTTTTCTTTTGATTTTGTTTTCTTCTGTTAGACAAGTTTAATTCTCTCATACCTCATGTGACACAAAGCAGAACTTAAGAAGTGTTCTCTTTTGCTGACACAATTTTGTCGAGTTTTCTTCTGTTGCCTTCTGTGGTCATCTCTTGCTGAACTACCCCTACACAAAAGCCCATGTGACACCAGCTGTGAAGGAGTGTGCTCAGGGTGCATAGAGCCAGCACTGTTCACCCAGTGATCACTGTTAGCACTGGACACTCCTGATTTTGCACAGGTATTCAGGATGAAAAGTGCTGTAGAAATATAATTTTGTTGATCGGAATACCTGAATTTTGCAAGTGAGTAAATTCAGGAGAAGAATATAGTACCTTTACATGAGCTTAGCTGATGAAATAATCTGTCAGTGTATCATTGGAGCAAGCCTTAAGTCTGAGACCATTATGAACATAGAGGTCATGAGTATTTCAGAACCAGATTATACATTAAAACCTCCCCTGACAGCGTCAGTACTTCAGGCTGTGTTTGACCAGCAGTTACCATGGTTTGCAGATGAGTTGGTACTGCAGTCATTCATCTTCCTCAGTTTTACAATCATAAAGCTGATGTTTAACGCTGCTAAGATATAAAAAGAAGTCTAAAACTATTTTAAACCTGTCTCCCTTCCCCCAGTACTTGTATGTTCTTAAATGGAACATATAATTTATAGGCTTCATAGAACAGGTTTATGAGTATTAAAAATGCCTTTGTAAATAGTCTCAATATATCAAAGAGAAGATAAATGGTTACTTGATCAGCTTTCATTTTAGCTGTGAAATGTTATTTCCAGGGTAGTAGTTTTTAGTGGTATTTTATGGGATTTTCCCATTACTGGGTTTTTAAAATGACATTGACTCTCCTTTGTACATTATATAGGTTGTACCATAAGTGCCGATCAGGCAAGCGGTAGCTGGAGAGGCTGAGTGCTTGAATAGGAGTGCTCACCTCCTTGAGAGCAATCCTTGGAAGCTGACCATGTCAGTGAAGGGGAGCCCGTTAGTGGAGGAATTATTTAGGTTCTCCCGTTTTCTGTCAGGCACCTGCCTGGTGCTTTGCCTGACTGAGCTTTGATTTACTAAATAGCTCTAAAAATCCCTCACATTTCATGATTGTCTGTGTGTATATATTTTTTAAGTTATCTACATAGGGAACTAGGCTACTGGTAATAATATTCTAAACCCAGTCAAATTTAAATATTTGGGTAAGCATTTAGAAGACGATTTTTCCTTTATACTCAGAACTTGGTTTGACTCTTACATTGGCCAGTTTTTGAAATAACTTGTATTAGTGAGGAATATCTTTTTCACCACAATGGTAGTCAAGTAGTGGAGCAAGGTTGCCTTGAGAGGTGGTGAAATCTGTCCAGTTAGGTCTTGAAAACTTTGAAGGATAGAGAAGTCCTGGGCAACCTGGTCTGATCTTGCAGCCAGCCCTGCTCTCAGCAGCAGGTTGGGCTGGAGACTGCTGGGGTGCCTTCTAGCTGCAATTATCCTGGGGCCATACTTGTCAATCATCTTACTGGGTGACATTCCAGCATCTTATATGTCACGCTGACAGATGGTTTAATTGATAGTCCTTAATATTAAAGAAAACAAAGCCCTACCAATTAATAATGAAGTTCAGATTTCGGACTCAAAACTTCAGGTTCTTTTGTAAACAGTATAACCTTTTTGTTTTTTGAAAGAAGGTTCCAGATTCCAGCTAGTTTCATAAAACATTCTTAAAAAAGGCAGAGCAATGTAATTCTTTATAAAGGGACTCTCACTATGAGACAGCTTGATTTTTATTTGAAGGATTTTTTTTTTTTTTTAAGGAGGACCTCAGCTGAGAACTTAACTGGTGTTTTATTGAAACCAAAGGCTGTGGGGAGTGCAGTGCATACCAGTGTCATCAAATGAGTAATTGCTAAGCAGAAATGATCCAGGTTTATTCCAGATAATTTTTGTGGTGAAAATTTAAAAATTCTTGGAAGTAAAATTCAGAACAAAAACCTGAACTAAACCCCTGGTTTTGGACAATGTTTCCAAATAAAACCAGAAAATCCCCATGCCACCAACATCCTGTTGCTATCCTCCAGAAACCAAGTTCTTCCCTGTTGTTTAGCCCCAGTCAGTGCCACGCAGGCGTTCACTCACCTCCCCCTCCCCAGTGG